ACTTTTATGCATTCTACTTATAAATTTTGTAGATTGAAAAAAAATTTTTTTTTTCAAATGTCAAAAATTAAAAACGTAATTCAAAAACTATTTTATTAAATTCAATAATAATTGATTTTTAGACTTTCACCAACAATAACAACATTTTAGAAAAGTATGGATTAAATTCGAGAACTTTTAATTTTTTGTTCGGACATTTCAGGAATTTTTTCCTCATATGTATATCGCATAACCACACTTTTCATCTGTCAAAATTGAGGTCCAATGCACATGCTCAACTACTTTGGCCAGTTGAGTACAATGCACTGAACCTGGCACTTATCGTACATGTTTTTCTGACATTTTCAAACGCAGAGACCGGTCTCCTTACTATTCCTCCGTGCCTTAACCTCACCTCAAGTTTACGCTGTAAGCTAAATAATCTTAGGTTTAAATTCAAGGGATGCTTACAAAAAGATATTGTTCTGTGTGGGTTGGTTTACTTGTGCCATATCCTAAAATGTATTGAATCAAGAATATTATTTTCTCATGTCAAGTAATGTACGAGATGTCTTTTTTTCCTTGAATCAAATCATTATTTGGCTTCGTTTAAAACATTTTCTTTTTTAATCTAACACTCATAATCTTGAGTCAAGAAAATAAATAAATAAATACTTGTTTTAATTTAATTAAAAATTAAAATTGTTTGAAGACAATATTAATTAATCTAGAAATTCATTCTATTTAATGCGATTCTATATTATTATGTTTCAAAAATACAGTGCCCAATCAGCACGAAAACTTGCAGCAAACTTGCAAGAAGCTTGCCGTGCAAGATTGCAGTGCAAACATGTAGCAAGTTGTTGCAAAGTTGTGCAGTGGGGTGCTAAAACAGCGATTTTCAATAATCGTCTGTTAATAATTTGGATTGTTAAAAATGCTATTTACACTGGTCTTATTTGACACAGAATTAAATGATTTTTCAAACAAAAAAAGAATTGACGGTTTATCTTCATTCCTTCAAATGTTATTAATTATTTAAATAATTTATATTGTTAATTATTAATTTAATATCCGTATATCCGAAATAGTTCATATCGATGGATGGGTGTAAAAACATGATACATCGAATTGGCGTTGAAAAACATATGATACGTCGGATTAGCGTTGGAAAACATGACATATCGTCGTTTGATTTGAAGAACATGACACGTCGAAAACGAAATTTTTCTTTTCAAATTTCTGTTGGTACCACTGACCGCGAAATTTAAAATAGTTTGTTATATATTACATTTTTTAAGAATATATGATGATATTAAAATAATAGAAGTAAAATCTTGCACTATACACATATAATTTTGAATATTTTACATGAAATTCATTTTAAATCAACGGGATTACAATACTTTATTTAAATGGTCGTCTGTATTATTAATTACTTTCCTGACAGGGTCTCTCACTTATATAAAAAATACATATAATTTATTATAAAATAAATTGATGATATATTGAACCTATAATTCATATATACAACTTTATAAAATGTCTAGTCAATTATTTGAATATAATTATATTAGAATTAGGCTCTTTTGTAGTTGCCCATTTATGGTTCTTTTAGGACTGCGGGCGTTGGTGTTTCAATAAAAAAATATTTATAATTTATGTATGTTTATAATATAAGTTTACTGTAACCTTACTGTAACTGTAAGCTTACATTGTAAGCTTACAGTAAGGTTGCAATGTAAATTTACCATGTAAGTTTACAGTAAGGTTACAGTAAACTTATATTATAAACATACATATAATTATAAATATTACTAAGTTAAATTTCAAATTTTAGAAAATTTGTTTTATTTAAATAAAAAATTCCATATTAGATCTTATATGGGATTTCATGTAGAATTTTACATGGGAAACCATAAATGATGCCATATGGTTTTTTATACACCAAATCCTATCAAAAATTCCTGTGTGTTTTTAGATCAGGACCTTCATTTATGGTATTCTTGAACAAATCGAAGGTGCGACAAATTGTCAAGCAAATCTGACCATGGGATCTTCTTCTTAATGACATTACATTTGATAATAATCAATTTGGATTAAAATCGTATCTGCTTAATTTCTCACAAAATTTAAAAAAAACGTGAAAAATTCTGAGAAAATAAATGTTTCTTGTTTTAAAAAATTTTTCCAATTTTTTTAACATTGATTTTTGTTTCCACTTGAAGAAATAGTTCTCATAAAATTATTTCTTGAGCAATTCATTTGGCATTTTTTGAAGAGTGAAAAACATCTTTAAAAATAAAATAATAGGGGAGAATGGGGCGAGTTTTGCCTCATGGGGGGTCGTGCTTCACGTTAATTGTTTTATTATGTCAATTAAGGTGACAAACAACTATTGCTATATTCTTTTCTCGTTGAAAATTAACTTTTTAAGTGGTACCCGTCATCTTTGTAAGCATTTTTCGTGTCTTTCCAGATAGTGAGTTAAAATTTTTTTCTAAAAGTTTTTTTGACTCTTTATGTTTAAGTTATTTCTTTTCTGTTTAGTGCATAAAAATCATCAATAATTACTCTCTTAATCTGAATCAGTCAAATATAACTGGTTTCCAGTGAAAAGTGTACTGCAGGTTTAATCAGTTGTAAAAAGTAATTGATTGAATCAGTAAACAATAGAAACTTATATACTGATGTAATCAGTAGAATGCACAATTCAAGCTCGATAAATGATCACAAAGTCGGACCAACTTCAAAAAGGTAGTAATAGCAACACTAAAAAAAATTAAATATGGAATTATTTATACAATTAACACATTATTTATTATTGGAGACCTTTTAAATACCCTTACTTATTATTATTTAACGCAATCACTTACATACATTTTCGAAAATATTTAACGCTCGCTGGGAACGAACCCCTTATCCTTATTCTCCGCAGGCTAACACGCTATCCATTACACTATCCTAAAATGGGAATAAAAATACAAAATTGATTTGATAAGTTGCGACTGAGAAAAATGAAGACTTGAGGAGCAGAACAATAAAGAAACAATAATTATATATAAATTAAAATTTATTTCTAATGTTAAATAATTTATTTAACATATAAGTCAACATTTAAAATTTTTTTTATTTTATTAAAATTTAGGAACACAATTTTTCTTATTATCTTCAATAAATTTGAATAATTTTTTATTTCTTAAATTTTTAAAGTATATTTTAAACGTGCTTAGCAGGATTAAAAACTGTATTGCTTATATAAAGAAGAAATAATAAGACTAGGTGATATATACAAATTTTAGTGTTTTTGTAATTTAACTACATTCTTAAGTTTTACAGGGTGATTTTTATGTTCCGGATCCCCTAAAAAAACGAAAAAAATGAGAATAAAAAAAATTTTCCAAGAGGTATAGAACATAAATATCACTTTGCATAACAGATTTCATAATTAGCTTGTAACAAATGTTTTATAAAACTATGCCCTCAATGATATAGAGCATTTATAGAATGTTTTTGCTGGATATAGTAGGAAGAAAATGGCAGAATGCGCAAATCGTCTCTAATGTGTTACTACAAATGGACGGTTTGAATCAGTAAAAAATTCTACCGGTGATATCTGTAACATTTAAGTTACTGATTTACTTCAATTGTAAACTAACTTAAGTCGTTTACTGATTTCACCAGTAAAAATAAAAATAATAACTGATTTTCTAGTGAAAATATGTAATATTGATACAATCAGTGAAAATTTCACTGATTCAAATTAAGAGAGCATTTTCAAAATTGACCCAATTTCGATGACTTATCAATGTAGACCAGTTTGTAATAATTTGAAAAGTAAAGTAATAAATAATTAATGTGTTTTAACTTAAAAAGTATTCTGAAGAAAAAAAATTTCCTATAAGTCCTAAAGACGTCTTTTAGACATCCCGGTGCCCACTGGTAAATAAAATAAATTTTTTGTATTTCATACAAAATTTTTTATATTAAAAAATTAAAAAAAATTTTGCAAGACGTCTAAAAGATGTTTTAAAGATAGCTTATTACAATTTTAAAAAAATTCCTCAATGTCTTTTAAAACATTCTCAAAGACGTCTAAAAGACGTTTAAAAGACACGACATAAAACCTTTTATAGAAGTCTTTTGGATGTAATTATGATGTCTTTGAGACATAATTTTAGTGTCCCAAATGTGTCCGCGGACAAATAAAGACGTCTTTTAGACGTCCCGGTGCCCACTGGGTTTATATATTAACCTTTCCTCCAAATCTCATTTCTAGAAAGGATATAGTCTATTAGTTTTATGTGCCATTTCTCTGAATGTGCTCGTTAATTTTCAAATAAAGTTAATGGTAATTTCTGGAAACGTATTAACTCTGCAGGACACCATATACAATATTACGGTGACTTTCTTCATTAAAATGAATTAAAAAGTGTAATCAGCATTATTTATTTGTTTCATATTTTATAAGTGACTAATTTTGCTCTCTTAAACAATTTATTTTTAATTATTGTTGTTTTTAAAAAATAAAGTGTGTAACTTTTAATTCAGTTACAAATTAATTGTGTAGTTTATACTACATAATACATATGTATAGTTTTTCCACTTTTAGCTATATATATATGACCTAAGAATAAAGTTTGGCACACATAATGTATAACTTTAGGAAGAAAAAACTTATAAGTTGTCATAATAATTTGTTTAAACAGTTGTATGTTAGTAATCAGCTCATAAAATGTAAAAGTTTAAAAATAATTATTTTCTGAAAATAAATAATTTTACTGTTTACATGGACTGTAAATACAATTCGTAACAAATGTCAAATTACATTTTGTGCGCTATATATTTAACCTGCTTTATATGGTAGCAGTATGTGCTCTGAGAACTGTTTCAAAGAATTCAATTAGTCTCCCGAGAATTAAACTACCCCTACTCAAATCATCAAAGGCCAATCGTTAGGAAACAAGGGTTTCGAATGATATGTTTCAAAAGTATAAATATACTGATGTGAAAAATTGAGATGCCAGTCTTTTCTCTCTTTATGAGAATAACACTACCATTGAACTTATAAATCTCTTGACATTACTGATACAAAATACTCATTTTTTTACTTTAAAGGTAAACAGTTATATTATAAATATTTTTATTTACAAAGATTCATATTTTTAATAAATTTCAAACATTAAAACTGTTTAATAAACAGTCAAATTTATAATAAGAGAGTAACTTTTCCTCATGAGGAAGCTTTGTAACTTTAATACAGTAGTTCGATCATAGGATAAATTTTTTTTGTTAAATCGCTTCTACAGACTTTTTTAAAAATGATTCGATTTCAATGAAATATGGCTTATTTTCTTCAGAAAATGATTCACTACAATTTCACCGTGGGGATTTTCAAACAGGCAAGCCGTTTAGAAAATATGGCTCTTTGTTTAAAAAAATCGAAATTTTTCTTTTAAACGAATAGCTGTATTTTACAAAAGGTTTGCTTGTTTGAAAATCCCCACGTAAAGTTGTAGAGAATCATTTTCTGAAAAAAATAAGCCATATTTCATTGAAATATATGAAGTTATGTTTCAATTTTCAAGTCAATCAATGAAATATTTTTTTAGTTATCATGTAAACCGTTGCAAAAAGCATTGTCGTACAAGAATCAACATATCTCTGATATTTTTTAATTTTTTAAATGTTTTTTAATTTTTTGAAAACTTAAATACATGTACTTTATGCCATTAGTGCATGAAAAAGTTATATCCCTTTAATAGGGTGGCCCAAAAATACACAAGAAAATTAATTTTTTAGAATTTTCTTGCTGCCTCCCCCTAGAATTGTTCCAAATGGAAAAAAAGAAACCCCTATTTTTTTATTTTAAAATCGGTTAAGATTTAATGGTGCCGCCAGGCCTTTAAAGTTACCCATGTATTTTATATGGGGAAAAGCTGCTTTTTCGTAAAATTGCAATAATTTCGTTAAAACTTAATATTTTTTAATCGGCCAACGATATTTTTCTTCAGGAGTGTTGAAATTATAAAGTTCTAATAATTATTAAAAAAAATTAAATTAAATATTTTTTACAAGGCAGCTAAAAACCCTATAAATGCAAAAAAAGGGAAAATACATGTTTAAAAGTGTTTCAAATGATTTTATCGATATTTTTAGCATAGGTTATTTTATTACTGAAAAAACATTTTTAAAACCAAAGTTGTTAAAAAAATTTGTTTAAACAAATTATTGTTATTTTTTTCAAAATAAAGATATAAAATTGTAGTTTTTTCTGAATATTACAACTTACCTTGTTGACTTCACCAAATAACCAGTAGAAGGTGATTGTCAAAAATTAACAATAAGATTTGTTTAAACAAAATATTGTTTTCATTTATTTATTATCTAAAATAACACTTAAAAACTATTTGTTTTTTCTAAAAGTTAAATCTTTGCTGTCTAACATCACCAAAACAAATTAACTCAAAGTTCATAAGTTTATGTGTGGTGGTATGGTGAAGTCAACAAGGTAAGTTGTAATATTCAGAAAAAACTGCAAACTTTATATCTTTATTTAAAAAAAATACCAATAATTTGTTCGAAAAATTTTTTTAACAACTTTTTTTTAACGAATTTTTTTTCAGTAAAAAATATAACTTATAAAATATAACTAATATATATATATAACTAATCCGAATTTCATATCAGATTTTAAAAATACAAAATATCGGATCAAATATGGCGACCAAAATTTTTAAAAATCATTAGATTCGATTGAAACTCGTTATTCGGGGGTTTTCGGGATCGCTGATTATGAATCTGACATCACATTTTGAAAATACAATATGGTGGAGTCAATATAGCAAAGTTTTTAAAACTAATGCCATGTTGGATACATCAGTTTACGATTCTGTAAATAAACACTAATAAAGAGCAACATTGACTATAGTTTAACAAATTATCTTACAATTAAGATATAAGTTAATTATTAAGTTTTTTAAATATATTAGAAAAGTTTAACTTTATTTAGATCTTGTTAACAATTTTTTCCTTACAACGAATATGATTAAAAGATCAGTAGTAAAAAATTCAGCTTCTTTTTGGTAAATTATAAAAAAAATAGATTTTGACCCCCATTAATAGAACATATCGATTTAAAAACTTGGCATGAATATTTTCAAAAAGAGCTCTCAAAACTCTGTCAAACTATGTCATTGAACCACGTAATATACTTTTTACATTCCGGATACAGGGTGTCGATTATGTAATTTGATTTGACGTCAAAATCAAATTCATTTTAACTTCAATGTCAAATTTAATTCAACAAATTCATTGCTTTATTTAACATAGACGTTAAATTAAAATTTAATTTTTTATTTCAATTTAACGTCGCATTCAAATTTATTTTTTGATAGCAATTTGACGTATTGCAATCAAAAAATAAATTTGACTTTGACGTCAAAGTCAAATCAAATTACATAATCGACTCCCAGTAACCCATTCCTTGAAGCAATCATCTCGAAATTGGATGTCATTCGTAGCCTTATTAAATGTAAGAACATTAAAGCTCCAGGATTGGACGGTGTCTCGTTCGAGTTCTTAAAGAACCTGCCTGATAATGTTATTGAATATTTATCGTTTTTGTTTAATCGAGTCTTGGAAACAGAGGAGGTTCCGACCTCCTGGTCTAAAATTATGTTGAAAATGATATTTAAAAAGGCGATTTAAAAGACCCAGACAATTACCAGCCCATTGTATTAATAAATCACGCAACTAAGGTTTTTACACAGGTTCTGTTAAGTAGAGTAAATGAATGGGCTGAAAATAATTCACTTATACCGGCGTATCAGGGTGTTTCCGAAAGAATCGAAGTTGCATTGATCATATTTTTACACTCAATTTAATTATACAGACGCGGATAAACAGGCCCTGAGGAAAATTGTTCGTCCTGTTCGCCTTCCCTTCGGTCACCCATAACTTGCTGCGGGAGAAACTATATAAATCAGGACTTGGAAAAAAATTACTAGAATCTTAAAAAATCTTTATTCTAAAGCTATCATAGCGGTTAGGAGATCGACTAAGCTTTCGGAGCCGGTGAGATTCACGAAAGGCGTCCTCCAGGGCGAAGTAATGAGCCCGATTTTATTTACACTTTTCATAGCGGATATAGAAGTATTCTTAAAAAGGGAGGGTATCAGAGGTGTGTCGCTGAACCATCTGACTGAGATTCCCGAGTCGAAATTTTAATGCTCTATCAATCCTCTTTATTGCTGATTGAATACTCTATCAGTACTAATTTCTCCTCGGTATCCTCTTTTTATCCTCCTTTATTCATAATTAGTCCTCAGTTTGTCCTCCATTTATCCTCTGTGCTTTTTCAATAAAATTTGTGAGTCGGCTTTTTATCCTCTTTTAGTCTTCTCGTTCTTTATATATTTCTTCCCTGGCGGAATGGTTGAACGCGGATCGGACGCCGTTGCGTCCAATTCGCGTCTGACCGCGGACGCTCTTGTATTTTTGTTATTTTTAAACTTTAAATAATAAAAAAAGGTTAAAAAATTATTAGAAACTATAAAAAAGTATTAAAGAATCGAATAATACCATATTTATGCATGATTAATGCAAAATAAGTTAAAAATTAATACTTAAAAAAAAGGTAAATATGTGAAAGTTTATCATGAAATTTGTGTGCAATTTAACGAAATGTGTTGTTTACAGGAAATAATATTAAAAAAGAACATTAAAAAAGTAAATTTCTACAATTTAGAATTACTATTTTTGACAGAAATTAATTAAAATAAAAGTAAAAAAAATAAATGTTCCAACAATAAGAATTTACCGACAACAAGGCGTAAGTTCATGTGGTGAAATGCTAGATGGCAGCACATAAACTAATCAAATCTTTTTAAATGGAACAAGAAGAAAGAGAATCTCAAAACTTATAATCGAATGCAAAACTCGTTTGTCACATTTCACTAAAAATTCATCACGCTTAGGTTATAGAGGGCTTTGATGTTAAATTTAATAATAATAATTTTTTAAAATTAATAATAATAACCAATAAATTATTTTTTTAGATTTATCTCAAATTTACGAATCGGGGATTTTAGAGGGCAATAATATCGAAGTTAATAATAATAATAATTTTGAAAAATTCAAAATGTCTAAAAATTGTTTATTTAAATTTCTTTATAATTCACCACTCGGCGATTATAGATGGCGCTGATGTCAAATTTAATAATAAAATTTCTTTAAAATTAAAAATGGTTGCAAAAAGAAAGTTTTTCAGATTATTCTAAAAATAATTATTTTAAGGTATATGAGGGCGCTAAGGTAGAATTTCATAATTTTCAAAAATTCTAAATGGCGATCAAAAAATAGATTTTTCAGATTTCTCTAAATATAGTCGTTTAGTGATATAGAGAGTGCTGAGGTAGAATTTCATAAGTTAAAAAAATTCAAAATGGCGGCAAAAATGTTTTTTCAGATTTTTTTAAAAATTAACACTCGGGGCTTATAGATGTCGCTGATGTCAAATTTAATAATAAAATTTGATTAAAATTAAAAATGGTGGCAGAAAGAAAGTATTTTTAAATTATTCTAAAAACCATCATTTAGAAGTAAAATTTAATATTTTTCAAAAATTCGAGATAGCTACCCTTAAATTGTTTGTCTAATTTCTTTAAAATTTATCGCTCAGGGGTTTTAAAGAGCATTGCTGTCGAATTTAATAATAGTAATAATTTTCGGAAATTCAAAATGGTACCTAAGAAGCAAAAAATTGTAGCTTATGTTTGTGATTTTTAAAGTAAAAATACACAAAGGGAATCAACTCTCAATATAAATTATTGGTTTTTAAATCTTCATAACATTGAAAATATTTAATTAAAACTGATTTTACTTTACATAATAAAAAATAAACTTTTAATTAAGATAAAATTACGACAAACATAACCTTAAAATGATTTTCTTCTTAGGTTTTAAAAAAAAACTGAGAAAACATTTTTTGCCGCCATTTTGCACTTTTTAAATTATGAAACTCTACCTCAGCGCTTTCTATATCACTAAACGACTATATTTAGAAAAATCTGAAAAATCTATTTTTTGATCGCCATTTTGAATTTTTAAAAACTATA